CCAGACACCGCCAGGCCAAACTAACATTTCCAGAAAGAGGGCGGCAATAGCGGCTTTAAATGATTGCAGAGTTTTGCATTGTCAGTACAACTTGGGAACGGTGAGATAGAATATATATAAACAAATGTCAGAAGTAATTTATCTACTGGTATATATTAAGGTTGCAGTTGATTTTTGCAACAGTAGCTGTTGCTCATTTTGGCTGTATGTTATATCTCAAATTACTGGTGTAAATGTTCAGATAGGTGCTGTGTGCACTTAAAGACACTTGTAAAATGCATGCTCATAATTTATTAGATCTTTAATATCATTTTTTTGCGCTTGGTGACCTACAAAGCGCGTTCGTTTTTGTATAAGATTGTATTTATTTTTATAATCGTGCTTTTTTTCTGATCATCACTGTGGGGTATCCTAGCAACGAATAGGCACTTCTCTGTCCATTAAGAAGTCTAGTGGCAACTTCCTAGCTATTCAGTGAATGATGTTTGTGCATCAGGTACAGGAGACCGAACTGACAAAAGTAGTTCTTTAGGGAAGAAGTCTTTTAAAGGGAATATGTAGTGGTTTTCACTTATTTTCTTTAGTTTTGCCAACAGGAATGACTAAAAATTTTACTTTTGTTGGATGCTTGTCATTCTGTATGAAATATTGCAAAACCATTTTACCAACAGTATTCTATGTACGTGTTCCATAGCTGTTTTTTTAAATTCGGTTTCTAGAATTCTGTAGCTCAAGCTGTGATTTCCACAGGGAACTGAATCACTTATCATAGGGCTCAGTCTAAAAGGTTTGCCAGGCAATGCCTGTCTTGAGGCAGGCTGCTGTGTTGCCTTTTTAGATAAGCTATGGTGCTTTGGGAATCCTTTTGTCATGTATTATTTATTTCTATAAATCTGTGTAAATGTAAATTAATGTGACTCTAAACTCAGGAGTTAAATCTTAAAAATGCATTCAAATCCCTTACTATTACCAAAAAAATTAATCTTATTTGTGTATCCCTCAGCTCTCTGAATTCATGCTGACACTGACAGTGTCGGCACCAATTCAGAGATGATTTGAGGATCTAAATCCTAGTGATAAACAAACGAGATGCATTTTTGTTAATAGTTAAGGTACTTGGGTGCATTTTTAAGACTTAACTCCTGAGTTCAGTGTCACTTTAAGTTTATACACTTGTATATTTTAAATGACTTCAAATGACTTTTTCCAGGCAAAATCTTCCAACTGTAGAATCTCAGTAATGCGATCTGAATTTAGGAATAGGATTTGGGTAAAATAGGATTTTGGTAATAACTGCAATTTGGAATACGAAAAGCAATCTTCTGTATGCTAAGGCTCATATCATGCATTTGATTCAAGCCTTCAGATAAGGTGTTTGTGGGGTTTTTCCTTAATTCTTTTTTTTCCCATCAAAATTTGTTTCTTATTCTGTTCAGAGTAAATAAAATAAATTGTTTCTTTTTATTTGATAGCGGCATTTCTTACCCAGACTGTCTGCCTTGATGATACAACAGTAAAGTTTGAAATCTGGGACACAGCTGGTCAAGAACGATACCACAGCCTAGCTCCAATGTACTACAGAGGAGCACAAGCTGCAATAGTTGTATACGACATCACAAATGAGGTACTGTGCGTTTCTATCATTTTTACTTTTAGATTTTGCTTGGTTTCACATATACATGTATATATTAAAGAATCAGAAAATTGATAGATGCATCATTATTTCTAGTACTTGGTTCTTTAAAGGAGAATTATGAGGTGAGTGATTTTCAGTCAGCCTCATAATCTGAGCCGACCTGTGACAATCTCGATTGTTGCCAAGTAATGATGTCACTGCTACTTTATCTGGGTTTGCAAACACATCTACGGCACACAAAGTGGAATGATATGGGTAATAAGTAATATATTTAAATTAATGTTTTTGTGCCCGGAGTTCAGCTTTTATGCACTTTCTCTGTTTGTCCCTCCATTTTTCCTTTTTAATATCCTTTTTGAAATTGTTCAGAATATCTTTCAATTCTATGCATAAACCTGCTCCAAATAAACAACTGTAAAACAGGAAATCTTTAAAAAAAATATACATATTTTAGGTGCACTGTGTGAATGGTAACCACATGACAGACAGACTTGTACCAATCTGTTGGTACCCTTTCAGCTCAATGAAACAGTGCTTCATTGTTCTTAAAGTGCGGAAATTAAAAAAAAAAGATTTCATGTATACCTGCAGGCCTTTGGCATGTCATAGAGTAAAGCTAAAAGTGTGGAAAGAGAAACATTATTGAATATTCTACATTTTATAATGGCCTGGACAAATTTGATGGTCTTCCTAGAGAAGAGTATATGTAATTGGATCGTAGTGATGTTTCAAACTATTTTATGTAGTTAGTATAATGAGCCTTCAAACGTGTAATCAGTCAGTCATGGAGAAAAGTAGAGACACTGCTGTTTGGTATTATTGTGCACACCACACTGAACATGGACCAGTGAAAGCAATGGAAAAGGTGTCTGAGGATATCAGTAAGAAAATTATAGACCAGCAATTCAAAGCAGACCGCTATAAAACTATGTAACACTAGAAAATCCCCTATGCACAGAAATCCCTAGTTGGAGCTGATCTAATAAACAGGTTTACACATATGGAGTATGTCTGAGTATCAAAATTTAATAGTAACAGAATAAACACATTGAAACACCTTCAACAAGACATTTAAAAACAATAAAAAATGACTTCCCTCAGGATAACCCGATAAGTGTAATAGTCTGAGCGGCAGATAGTCACTGGTGCAAGCACAATGGCCACAATCAAATGTGGATACTTAATATCAGGGCTTACTCACGTCACTTAAGATTCAAAGTGGACAATCCTCACAGAATCCTGTGCTCATGTGTGATTTGCCGTGGAACGAGACTGCTCAGTGGCATTTCCAGAAAATCCAACTTTGTTAGGTATAGAAACCCGAATCTCGGGGATGCCTCTCCACCCACTGATCTGTGCTCACACTTGCCCGCAGAGTTTAGTTTCCAAACCGTGACGGGAACATCCAAGGAGATTCCAAGCTTGTGCGGCCGCGCAGCTGAATGAAAATATGCTGGAGTCCTCACAGCGGTGAGCCCGTGATGTAATAAAGCCCAAAGCCGAACGAGATCGAGTGGCAATGACTCACTCGCACTCCTCGATTTCAGCCTGGATTGTGCAAGCTGATCAGCTGCTGCAAATCGGACAGCGTCCCGGTAGTCTTGGTTCCGTCCCTTAGTTTGAGAAACAATGCAGTTTAGTTGGCCGCATATGGGTCTACTACGGGTATCCAGGGAAGCTTTCACAAACACGTTACCCTGACGCGTTTCCCCCCCGATCACACGGGGTTTCCTCAGAGGGGCGTGTGAACCGCTATAAAACCAACACCAAGCAGCTTGATGTTCCTGTGACCTACAACTGAAAATATTATTGAGAAGTTTGAAGTCCATGGGATTGTAGCCAAAACCTCACTGAACATGGCTGCAAGAGCAAAATCATCCACAGATTTAACAGAAGGAAGGTGCAAACAGTAGACCAGAGGCCAAAGAAAACTTCCAAAGAGATATAAGCGGACCTCTAAGGTTAAGGTATATAAGTGCCAATTACCCCAGGTGTCGCTTTTGGAGTGACATTAGGCTCAAAGAAAGACACAGAAGAAAACCATAAAAATATTGTAAAATGAGACTGTTTAGCTGCATTGCTTCTGGGAGAATGTCCTTTGGACAGATGAGACGAAATTGGTGATTTTAGGCAAGTCATATCAGCTCTGTGTTCAAATGAAGAAAATTAAGCTTTCAAAGAAAAGGACACTGTAATTACTGTGAAACCCTGAGAAAGCTTGGTTGTTTTGGTGTTGCTCTTCTCTGTCTGGCACAGGGTGCCTTGAATCAACGTGCAATGAAATCTCAAGACTATCCAGGAATAGTGGAGTGAAAGGCACTGCCCATTGTCAGAAACCTCTGTCTCAATCTCAAGTCACGGTTCCTCCAACAGGTTTCAAGTTATTTTAGAGAGAATTGTGGGGTGTTCTTTTTTCCATGGAAGGGTCAATAGATTTGTCCACGTCTGTAGTAGGAGTTTCTAGTGGAAATACACTTTACATTGTATGTGTAGCTACTCCTGTCTGTGTCTCTTACGTGACAATTCCTTTCACTTTCTGTCCCAAAGAGACAGCAGTATGTTAAAGATGATCTTCCAAAGTGAAACAAATATATATCCCCTCTTAGGTGTCACCAGAACAGACTTACCAATTGGAAGATTTTCCCTTACCTCCTGGTCTTGTGGTGACTCAAAATTTGGATTTCCCTTAACTTTCTGAAACGGAGACAATGGTCATTAGGTCCAACTGAATGCGAATCACCCCAGCGAAGACCGAAAAACCTTGCAGAACTATCCAAAAAATTACTTGCAATTTAATTCTTTGAGTTACTTAGATCAATGATAAAATCATGGACACTACCTCGGCAGACCATTACAGTGCCAACATCCACTTACTGCTGATATTCTGGTAATATAAGAGCACCATTCGGCCTTCCTATGTAAACTGTGTTAGTTTTTCTCATCTTGTAATTCCATTAAGGCTTGGTGTCTTAATTTTCCAAGTAACCTTTTCTTTTCCTAGCCCTTCTCCACAACCTATCCACCTCTCCAACCCCTCCCTCAGTCAGAGCAGGGGGATCAGGATGAGATGCACAGAAAACAATTGCATTCCCACCCAGAAGCCATATTAAAATATTGTCTCTTTTGCTTGTATTGGAATTCTGCTAAGCTCAGAGTAACTGATACTCTGTGCCCTCACTTTAGGGTATTTGAAGTTTTTCCTTGGGTAATGTAAGCAATTCATAGGCTGACTTGTGTGGCTCCTTCCCCATGGATATGTTTTTATTTATTTTTTGTTCCTGCCCTCTGTTGCTGAGTTTCTGGTCCCATGTTCGAACCATCACGCAGACATTTACTGACCATAATATCGCCCTGGACCCTTTATTTTTTCTGCTTTCTCATAACTCCTTTTCCCTAAAAGGATATAAATGCTCGGTGATCATACACCTGGTGAATGTAGCGCAAGCTTGTATTTGAGCCTTGTGGAAACGAACATCCCCTCCTACAGTCAAACTATGGTTCAGCAAGATCAATGATATTAAACATATGGAAGACTTACCAGCTTAGTTAAGGGTTTACAGCTAAATTTTGCTCAACTTGGTTGTACTGGATTGAGTTTCTTATGACGGAGTATCGAAACTTTTTGGGCTCCTCTTTTTTTCTTCCCATCCACTACCCTGCACCTTCATGATCTTTATATCTTCTTCTTACGCATCTTTCATAGTGATATGTTCATCTCCCATGCAGATAGACTTTGATATTCCTTCCCTATATTGTCACATTCATGCTCTACTGGTATACCATTGTGATTCTCTGATATGTACACTCTATTGCCAAAAGTATTGGGACGCCTGCCTTTACACGCCTTGTTTGACCATTCTTCCAGAAGCACATTTGTGAGGTCAGGTACTGATGTTGGACGAGAAGGCCTGGCTCGCAGTCTCCGCTCTAATTCATCCCAAAGGTGTTCTATGGAGTTGAGGTCCGGACTCTGTGCAGGCCAGTCAAGTTCCTCCACCCCAAACTCGCTCATCCATGTCTTTATTGACCTTGATTTGTGCACTGGTGCACAGTCATGTTGGAACAGGAAGGGGCCATCCCAAACCATTTGCACAAAGTTGGGAGCATGAAATTGTCCAAAATGTCTTTGTATCCCTTCACTGGAACTAAGGGGCCAAGCCCAACTCCTGAGAAACAACCCACACCATAACCCCCCCTCCACCAAACTTTGCACTTGGCACAATGCAGTCAGGTAAGTACCGTTCTCATGGCAACCGCCAAACTCGGACACGTCCATCAGATTGCCAGACAGAGAAGTGTGATTCATCATATTGGAGAACATGTCTCCAGAGTCCAGTGGCGGTGTGCTTTACACCACTGCATCCGATGCTTTGCATTGCACTTGGTGATGTAAGGCTTAGATGCAGCTGCTCGGCCATGGGAACTCATTCCATGAAGGTCTATACGCACTGTTGTTGTGCCAATCTGAAGGTCATATGAAGTTTGAGGTCTGTAACTATTGACTCTGCAGACAGTTGGCGACTTCTGCGCACTGTGCATTTTACGTGGCCTACCACTTCGTGGCAGAGTCGCTGTTGTTCCCAGTTGCTTCCACTTTGTTATAATACCACTAACAGTTGACTGTGGAATATTTAGTAGCAAGGAGATTTCATGGAACACCTGAATCCAATGATTTGGAGGGGTGTCCCAATACTTTTGGCAATACAGTGTATATCTATGAATGTTTGCCTCTCTTTTTCTTACCTCTTTGTCACCTACAAACTTAATCAGATTGTTGATTTACAGTCATTGTTGGTATTATATTTGTTTTAAACTTTTTGTAAAAATAAATATCTTTTTGTTCAACTAGGAATTTAAAAAATAAATATAAATATATCTATATAGATCTATATAGATCTATATATAATCTGAGTGGTGAGGACGAGAGGAAGCATGTTGCTGCCCAGATATGTATGAAAATCAGCTTCCCATTTAGATTTAATCAGCTATTTTCACTTAACAGTGTTTAATGAGAGAGAAAATTCAATGAGCTTCCTTGTCAAATAACATTAAATGAAGGTTATTCCTGTTCATTGTCACTGTATGCAAGTGTTGGCTATGACTGAGCATTGTTCTGCTTTCATGCTTGGCTGCCTTTTAAGTTCCAGCAGACATAATGTCTTTTTTTCCAGCACTGTCATTTATTGTAGATTAATAAAAGAAAAAGTTGAGAAACCTTTGACTGTTTAGATATAAACACTGTCCTAAAGGCAATTCCAGCTTATGCCATGTTCTTTTCAAGTTATACAAAAAGACCTTTCTGTACAGTTTTTGAAAGAGTACTATTATCCCAACAAAATGTTTATTTACATAGCTGTGTGTGTGTTTCAGTTTCAAGCTATGCTCTATGATTATAAGAGCTAGACAGACTAATGTTTTATACCCTCATTTCTACTCTGTTAACTTCATACTTGCTGTTGCAGAATATTAGAATATGCAGAGTATCATTCCAGAGAGCACATATTAAGTCATTATTGAAATATTTACCTCCAAAGTATTTTTATTATTATTATTCACCCTTGCAATCACTTTGTGATTGTCTGCCTTCATAAAGTTAAATTACAGGTGCAGACACCTGCTTGAAATACATACAGAATATAGGAACTGTTTTATCTGGCAAAAGGAGATTTGTATTTCTGCCCATCTGTTCCCAAGATGTACACAGCCTGGCCACACAGCGTAGCTAGGCAGATTACACCACTTAGGCCTTGTTCACACCAAGCGTGGAGCAGGTGCAGAGCAGATCAGTTGCAGACCGGATCAAAACTGCGTCCGATGTATTCCAATGGTATTTTTTGCTCCAGTTCACATCGCAGCGTGCAGGTCCAGAGCAGGTGAACAAACTGCAGCAGGCCCTATTTTACCTGCTCTGGATCTGCAAACGCATCAAAAACGCATGCAAATGCCTGGAACGCACTGTAAGCCCATGTTAAACTAAAAACGGCCCGGAACGCGGCAAAAACGCGGCACAACTCACTGCACTGCGTGTGCATAAACCTGAGCGGATCTGCTCTGCATTTGGTGTGAACAAGGGCTTACAGTTATGGAGTACAGTGGTGGTCTCTCTCCACCCCTAGCCTGCTGACAGTGAAAGAGCAGCAGCAGCCTGATGAAGAATTCTCACTGCTTACTCTGCTCCTTTTTTAAGCATGTTTCTTGTCAAAACATATGCATACAGCACATCTGATTGGCCCATTGTTCCATCTCTCCCTCTCCGCTTGTTGCCATTCAGGGATTGCAGGGAGCTGATGCCATATTTACAGTAGGTACCTAAACTGGTAGCAATTTTAAACACAAAGTTAAAAAAGTTGCCCGGAGGTCGGTTTTAATACATATTGTCTACCAGACAAGGAGTCCATTGTATTCACTAAGTCAGGTGACTCAGACTTGCATTGTGAAAGTGAGAACTGTAAAGTACAACCACTGTGTAGGACTACAGGAAAGCAGAGCCAGCATATGTAATCATCGTGTGTGTGTGTGTGTGTATATTTACCGTATTTTTCGCTCCATGAGACGCACTTTTTTCCCCCCAAAAGGAGGGGGAAAAAGTGCCTGCGTCTTATGAAGCGAATCCCAACGCCCGAGACATGCAGTTTCGGGGCGCCGGGCGAGTAGTAGGAGCCACTGCTCGTTTAATACGAGTGATCTAACGAGATCACTCGTATTAAAGCCGAGCAGCGGCGGCGGCGATCGAGTTCAGCAGCAGGAGCCACTGCTCGTTTAATACGAGTGATCTAATGAGATCACTCGTATTAAAACCGAGCAGCGGCGACGATCGAGATAACCATAGAGCAGACGAAGAATAGACGTTCTTCGCCTGCTCTGTGTCATCACTGAGACCGTGGCGCTGTAATCACAGTGCCACCTGTCTCAGCGGTCACTAACTGCAGCTTCTGTGACAGCTTCTGTCATAGAAGCTGTCACAGAAGCTACAGTCTCGAGTGCTCCATAAGGCGCGCTGGACCTCCCCGCGTCCTATGGTCCGGTGCGTCTTATGGACCGCAAAATACGGTATATAGATATATATATATATCGAGAGAGAGAGGTCTGTGTTGTATACACACACACATCTATCTAATCTCTCTCATTATATATATATATATATACACACCTTTATACCACCACAGGACCAGTGTGCACATGAAAAATACATCTTAAAAGCAGCACAGTCACCCCCACACCATACAAGGGTTACAGTCTGAATTCTGCCCTGTTCATTTTTGAGGAAAGGCCTGTCAGAGTTTCTGACATGGTACGTAGTATGGTAATGGCCATTGACTAAGCTTGCAGAATACGTTCCCTTGGAAGCTGTGTGTAGATTAACAGCCGAGTAAGTCTTATTCTGTGTTTGAGTTGAAATGACTATATTCCAACCCTGCTGCCATACAGAAACAGCATAACCTAGAATTTTAATTTAAATATGTTTCAGGAATCATTTGCAAGAGCGAAGAACTGGGTGAAAGAACTTCAGAGACAAGCAAGTCCCAATATTGTGATAGCTTTGTCTGGTAACAAAGCCGATCTTGCTTCCAAGCGGGCTGTGGACTTTCAGGTAAGCTTTGCCTTTCCTGTTTAATTCATAGTCGGAATCCATTTTGTACCTCTTACCTAGCTAATAAGGTCTTTATCATCCCTGCAATAGAATGTGATTTATATCTTAAAGTAATTGCAGTATTTGTGTCTTGGGATACATCTGCATGCAATACAAAGCTATAATTATAAAGTATAATTGCTGTTTCTGTCAATCCTGTCTTGTTCTTGCGTAGCATTCATTTTCATTTCAAACCATTATAATTACTTTTTACTGCCTTTTATATTCTAGTAAACGAGTATCAATGGATGCTTGATTTTTATAGTGTTTGTGATTTTTATCTGATGTCATTATGACCAGAATGAACACACTAATGTTTTAGTTCAGTAGCTTGTGTTACAGGACATTATCTTAATTACCATTGTAGGTGGCTTTTATCATTAGAGAATGTAAACTGACTTTATGCCAATTTGTGGTGTCACCCCAGATATAGTGACTGTTTAAGTCAGGGCTGTGTTCTCAATCTGTGCAGAACTCTTGATGATGAGAGGCATATTGGCAAAGAGAAAAAAATATAAAACTTTACTGATCCAGGTGCTTGTATACAAAGCCCTGCTTGGATCACACCTCTTTGGTATGTTCTACCCAACAAATGGTCTTAATTGTAGATCTCCACAGTCTTATAAACAACTGAATTAATAAAGTTCCATGATGAAGGCTGGCCACGTGGAGTGCTCCTGCTTCTTTCCAAATGCAATTTTGTATCTATGTGTAGGTGGGGAAACATTAAAACATTTTTGTGTGTTTTTATGTGTAATATACAGTGGGGCAAAAAAGTATTTAGTCAGCCACCAATTGTGCAAGTTCTCCCACTTAAAAAGATGAGAGAGGCCTGTAATTGGCATCATAGGTAGACCTCAACTATGAGAGACAAAATGAGAAAACAAATCCAGACAAATCACATTAGCTGATTTGGAACAAATTTATTTGCAAATTATGGTGAATGTATAGTGGAGTGGAGTTCAGCTGCTGGAAGTGTGATGATATCCCTCCGTTTGCAGTGGACAGGCCCTCCGTGCTGGTCCCGGGCCCACATGGGGGACAATGGAGCTTGGGATAGCTATTGAGGGGCAGATACTCCACAGCACCGTACAAGCGATCGGGTGGCTCTATACATGCCCCTACACTTGTATGTAACAATTGTCACCGACTGTAAATATTTGATACCAAGATCGTATTTTGTCCCTGAAGCTGTTCGGTATATTTTTCTTTGGGGGGTGAGGGGAGCACAGCATCCGATAGTCGGCTACAGAAGGAATTTGGAAAGTTTTGCGACCTGAGTCCTATTCGTGGCAGCGCTCTACCGGAAAGGGGGGGGGGAATGGTAAGAAATTACACGTGGTGAGCAGTAAGATTTTAGCTGTTATGCTTTCCTTTTTTTTTTTTTATCGGAGCGCTTCTTAATGCAAGTTTTGACGTTTGTTCATTGAATAATGTAATTCTTTTAATGGGACCACAGGGGTGTGGAATTCCTATCGGCCGACGCCCGGGACAGGCAGTTTCGGGCGTCGGGCGAGTAGTTTTTTTCTATATTTAGCCCGGCTGCGGGCAAGCAGCACAGCTACATGTAGTATGGGAGCTGTTCCGTACAAGTGGTTTTGAGCGGCTGTACAGCCGTCCAAACTCACTTGTAACGAGCCTGAATCTCACTCCCCTCGCTCCCCCCTCCCCTCTCCTCCCCCCTCTCCTCTCTCTATCTATCTTATCTCCGGCGGCCGGCCGGCCATGTACCTCTCCCGGCTGTCTCTGGCTGCACGCTGGCTTCTTTTCTGCCCTGGTCTTCGGGGTCTCCCCTCTTGTGGGGGAACCGGAACCAGGCAAATTAGATAAGGTTACAGCACGGAGCAAAGAACGCTTCTTTGCTCCGTGTGTGAAGTGATACAGGAATGCAGCCTTCCTGTCACAGAAGAACGAGCACAGTACTGTGCTAGAACTCCTGTGTTGGAGGTGACAGTGTCAATAAACAGAACCTGTCACCTCCAAATGCTTTCACATGGGCTTGTTATCCCTTGTGTAATAGCAATAAAGTTAAGTGAAAAAAAGTAAAAAAAATGACAAATATGTAAGTACATAAAACTGGAAAAAATAAAGTCGATAAAGTAAAAAAAAGTAAAAATAAATGAGAATTAAAAATAACCAATATTACATTAGTTAAAAAATAAAATAAAAACCCCACTGCACCCACCTTCTGCATGCATGGGGTATTGTGTGCGATCCGTTACCGCACGGCAATTGTGCACAAAATCGCGTGGATGGCCTAGCAGTCACAGAATCACATACCACCGCCGATCGCACTGGCGGTGCCATTATTGTCTAATGGCACCCCAGTTACGCCTGGCAGATTGCGCTGTTTCCCGCCACAATACTGCCCGTGCAATCGGATATAATCACGGTTGAAAACACTGCATGGTGCGTGTTGCGAAAAAAGGTACATGTAACTTTTTTCAGTGATTGCCATACGGATGTAACTCCACTGAAATCAATGGGGCCGCGCGGCAACTGCTGCATGCAACCGCACACGATCGCCCAAGTCTGCACCAGCCCTAAAGGGTAAATTCACTTTCCCAAGTAATTTGGAAAAATGGAATTACCTGCTCAAATCTGGCCCCCTACCCCTCCCGCTATACTTACCTTTCAGGGAACAGTCCTTCCCATCTGCCAATATGGGTGTACCATCTGTAATTGTGCCATGTATTCTGACTTTCGCTATCTGGACCAAGATCAACTATTGTTGGTGTAAATGTTTGTGTTGGAAATGAAAGATGCAATTAGTATGGTAATTGTAAAGAAAAATAAAAAAAATCCAAACTCGACCTTTAGCACAAAAAAATTTCTGCACCAAATAAATAATGGCCCAAAAAATGAGTTTGGTGCAGTTGAGGTGTGCAGTAGTGCTCTAAGAGTATGATTGGGCAAGACAATTCTACATTCTAATATAACTATAACTATATTTGCTGTTACATAACTGTTCACTTGACATCTACCGTATATACTCGAGTATAAGCCGAGATTTTCAGCCCATTTTTTTGGGTGAAAAGTGCCCCCCTCGGCTTATACTATAGTCAGCGCCAGGTGTCATCTTACTTACCTCGCCGAGCGTCGCGTCACTGCTGCTCCGGTGTGTGGCGCTCCGAGTGGGGTCATCTGGCAGTCTCCGGGTCCTAATTTAGGTTGCCGGAGACTGCCAGATGACCCCGCTCGGAGCGCCGCAATTGGTATCTATCTACCAGTAGCTGCCTCATTTCCCACCCTCGGCTTATATTCGGGTCAATACTTTTTCCCAGTTTTTTTGGGTAAAATTAGGTACCTCGGCTTATATTCGGGACGGCTTATACTAGAGTATATACGGTACATGCTGTGTGCCAGAATAATTTTATGTCACGTGTGACATTTCGCATTCCTTAACAAATGCCCATCTTCGCTTATCGGGCCCAAAATGTGCAGCCTCTTATCCAGAGTACTTGCAACCATTAACGTTCTACCCGTCCACCAAATAAACCTGCAATTCAACATCCCTACTCAAGTCTACACTTATACTACGGTTGATGGTAAGCAAATATTGATAAACCGATCTGTATTTTTTTAGGGAAAATGGGGGAAGTGTGTTCTCTACACACATGGACGACGTATGTTCTCACACACACAAAAGCCAACTTCAGAAAGCGTCCTTATTGGGAATTTACCTTAAGAACTCATTCTTAGCAATGCAAAGGCACTGTGCTAACCTCATGCCGGCTTTTCTGTACACCCACATAACCACCTGTAAATGAATTCTGTGTTGAGGCCTATTTCAGATTATTGCGCTGTAGGATGGGAAAACTAAATCTGACATTTTAATTTACTAGAGGAATCCTTACAAAATACACTTAATGTATGCTTATTTTAAGAACTAGTATTGCAAATCTTAATCTAAATGTATTTATTAATTTTAAATTTCACTTGTAGTACCAATACTTTGTATTCACTGGTCAATCAGTCTAATTTTGGACATACCAAGGCTTTTTGAGGGGCCAAGAAAAATCAGGTCCATGTGTGTAAAACCTGTATGCTATTCCTCATAGAAAACACCTTTGTTTTTGTAGAAGCTTTTCCCTTTACTGCAGGTGGGGACTCTTCATCCAAGTGGAACATCAAAACTTTGCTTGTATAAGGGCTTGGTCGTATAGGTGCTAATGTGGGACCCTCTGAAAGAAGTAGTGCAGTTCTGTGGCCTCGACCTAGCCCAAACTTTGCATGCAATGTATGAGCCGGTGTTCTATCGAAAGTTCCAACTCCTCGAGTTCTCCTGCTCTTCTGCACGAGCGCCAGCCGCGACATTGCCCTATACACATTCACCACCGCAACGAAGTATTAAAATTAACTAGGATGACACTAATCCAGCATGTTATTAATCTCAGGTGCCCCACTCAATATGGCCACCGCTTGAGTGGGGCACCTGAGATTAATAACGTGCTGGATTAGTGTCATCCTAGTTAATTTTAATACTTCATTGCTGTGGTGTATGTGTATAGGGCAATGTCCCGGCTGACGCTCGTGCAGAAGAGCTTTCTCGGCCAAACCACTGGGTTCACACCTAGGCGTATCGAATATGCGCGGTAAAAAATGTGCGACAAACGCGTGTTTCCGAGGGCTATCTGGCTGTATCCCAATGGATACGCGTGGCAAATACGCCCCAAAGAAGCTCCTGTACTTCTTTGGGCATAGGGCGTTTTGTAGCGCTTTCATACAGCCTGTAATACGCCCCAGGTGTGAACGATACCCATAGGAAATAATGGGATTTCGGTGTTTGAGCGTTTTGCAGAACGTTGGAACGCGCTACAAAACGCCCAGGTGTGAACCGGGCCTTAGTTCTAACTAAACCGGAAGTCAGGCAGTTGGAGAACTCGATAAGTTGGAACTTTCGATAGAACACCGGCTTATTTTTGAATTATGTCTGCCAAACACAGACATGTGTATAAAGCTGTGCTCAGGGAAATATTTGGGTCTTGTGTTCGGGGGGTGGGGGGCTGCTCCTTTTTGGTGTCAATACCACTCTGCAGTTTTTCAGTTGTGTGTACGAGTCCTCATAAACTCATTACTTATAGTAACCGGTGGTGCGCATTATCTCTCATCACCTTAGGACAACGAGTTGTAAATGTTTTTAGATAGGGATACATTTATGAAATGACAAGGACTCTACTGATTACTGATGGTGGATAATTCCTTAAAAGCTGAGATCACATCTCTCTCCTTCTAAAGGATGTTCAATGAACCACTTTTGGATTATTTTACAGGAGGCCCAAGCTTATGCAGACGATAACAGCTTGTTGTTTATGGAGACTTCTGCCAAGACGTCAGCAAATGTGAATGAAATATTTATGGCAATAGGTAAGTGCATGTTCCATGCAATGGAGGCAATATGGATTGAATAAACGTGTTTTATACTCCGTTGTATCAAAATATAATATATGCAAAACCATTTCTTTATTGCAGGTAATAGTCTTATGTAATGTATAGTTCTTTAATAAAATTAAATAGTATTTAAAATGTTAAAGAAGAACTCTGGGCAAAATTAACACTAAGGCTTGGTTCACACCTGGGCGTTTTACAGCGCGTTCCTACGCGCTGTAAAACGCTCAACATGTGAAAACCAATAAATGCCTATGGGTATGGTTCCCACCTGGGTGTTTTACAGCACGTAGGAACGCGCCGTAAAAAGGCCCTACGCCCAAAGAGGTACAGGAGCCTATTTGGGGCGTATTTGCCGTGCGTATCCATTAGGATACAGCCGGATAGCGCTTGGAAACGTGCGTTTGTCGTGTGTTTCTTTTACTGCAAATCGCTGTAAAAACGCGCATATTTTGTATGCCCAGGTGTGAACCCAGCCTTACAGTAGGGCTACCCCAGCACTGCAAGTGCTAGCTGCTCGTTTTGGTCTAGGGAGGAAAATAACCCGATCCTCCGAGCTGGCCAGCTGTGACGGCACTACCTCTGCCTCTTTTCCTCCATAGCGATGACATGTCCCTCGCGTCCTATACATTGTGTATAGAACATGATGACTCACAGACCTTAGACCGCTGCAGTGGAGGGGGAGTAAGGCTGGAAGGACTAAGAGCAAGCCGGCTTAGAGGATCGATTGAGTATAACTTTATTTTTCTCCCTGGGCCAAAACGAATAGCTAACACTTGCCGTTTGGGGGGGAGTAGCCCCACTGAAAGAGTTAATACAAATTTTGCCTGAAGTTGTTCTTTATCCGCTTGAAGACCAGGTGTTTACACCCCCTTCCTGGCCAGGCCATTTTTCAGTATTCAGCGCTGCGCTACTTTGACATTTATTCCGTCATACAACGCTGTACTGAAATACATTTTATACCATTTTTGGGGACAGATAGAGCTTTCTTTTGGTGGTATTTAATCACCACTGGGGGTTTATTTTTTACTATATTTCGTATAACTACTATTTTTACAATATGTTATGCAGCATTTATTATTACCCAATTTTTTGGTAAAATATAAAAGTCGGGGTCACGTCGGGTAAATGGACACCAAACATGTCAAGCTTAGAAATTGCGCACACCAGCGAAATCGCAAAAAACTACCATACCCAAAATTGGCCATAGGCGACGCTTTAAAACCTTTTACCACTCATCGGTTTAGTGTTATCAGTGATTGATGGGCCTAGAATTATTGCTCTCACGTTTGCGATATGTAACATGTGCGGCGTAATGGCCTCAATCGTCGTTTTTGCAGGTATGCGCACCCGGCGCATGTTTGCATGTATGTATGGGTGGGGACTTTTAAAAAAAAATTGTTTATTTTTGGGGAAACTTAATTTTTTTTTTCCACTTAACTTTATTGCTATCACATACGGGGACTAATAAAACCCCCCTATGTGATAGCAAAAGACCCCTAATGTCAACTAGGACCCCCCGAAGAAGCTGATGAAGCAGAGATCTGCTTCATCAGATCGGTATTTCCCAATCGCGTGCAAGTGGGCGTGGCTGAGCGGACGCCTAAAGACGCCTGCTCAGATCTAGAGAGCTCCCGGGACGTAGTTAAGGTAAATATGAACTATTACATGCTTATATTTGATTTTTATTATTTCGACACAGTAGATAAAATCCTAGTCTCCTTTTAACATGTTTCACGGCTTTGTTTCAAAGTGGCACACGGCTGAATAAGTCAGGGGAGTGACTCCTCTTGACTCCCTTTATTCAAACATTGCATCGAGATCCAGTTCGGTACATCCACAAAGGGGAACAATTATTGACATGCTCTCTTTAGACCAGAATGGTATGCAAACCAGTGACTGGGCTGCTCCCTATATTATGTGTGTGTGGAATAAAGATTTTTTTTTTAATCAATAATAATAGCGAACACAAATGACGACTTTTTTTATTAAACACTTTTTAGAAAACGGTAAAAGTTTGTTTTTAATGTGTTAATGTGTTTTAAGCTTTCTAGTTCTGTGGTCATAAGGAGATTTTCATGACTTAAAAGCAGTATACGTGTCGTCAATCCTTAGATTGTCTGTTGACTGGTTTGGATTTTCAAATTAACGCTATTTAGCAGTAATTACTTTTCTAAATGAATACCAAGATGCTGGATAATTAGATTGGAGATGCCTTTGAAGGCTTAAAAGGAAGCCGTTTATTTTTTGCCAGTGTAAAGAGCAGTGGTGATGGGCAGACTGCAGTAACTAACAGCAAATAGCAGGAAATAATTCATATATGACAGCCCTCAATATCTGGTTGTTCTGGTTTATTGCATCTTGAATTTTGTGCTGTTTTTAATTCAGTGAAAACCCCGTGATATGGATAATATGATCAGCAGATAATTGCTTTATAAGAGGGGTTTTTTTTGCCCTTCCTGTCCCATGGACGGAAAGTAAGTGGAACTCTCCCCAAAGGAAGCAAAGACCACAATTTTAAAAACAAATCATACAATGTTTCAACCCTTTGTTCTCCTACTAAATAGTGTATTGTTTTCTGTGCTTTGCTTCAAGAGCGTTCAGATCTCATTAAACCATTAAAGGCCTTCCATTAAATCTTTGCACTCACTAGGCAAAAAATGAAAAGGATTTTAAACTTGCTTTTTTCCATGTATTGAAATTTTGTCCCAATTTGTTTGTTGGAGATAGAGGACAAGCACCCAGACATGATTCGACATGACCTTATCTCATAGGAATAAGTGATTGACTGAAAGAAAAATCAACATCAATTGCATATTCCGCCTACAAACTATTGAAGGCTGTCTGCTGCCATCTAGATGGGATTCAAAATTGGACTCGCCAAGATCCTACCTTCTCTGGTGTGTTCACTGGAACTCAGCCATGGTAGTGCAAAGGCCAAAATCCACTAACCAGTCAAATTGAAATGGTTCACACTGGATCTCCATACAGAGGAAAAGCATGTTATTCAACTCATTTCCTGGGTATGATGGTAGTCACGTTGTAGTATATAGCGATGCACCGATATATCGGCCACCAAAACATATCAGCCCAAAACGGCACTTTTGGCAAAATGCCGAAAGTGCCATTTTTCGGCCGATATAGCAGCGCATCCATGACTTCTCCCCTCCCCGCTGAGCGCTGCTGTGTCCCAGTGGGGCGAAAGAAAGTGTCACAGGCGGCCGAGCGTTGCGGCAGGAGAGCGCTGTGAGTAGCCGGCATCTCTCCTCCCACACCACTCAGGCTCCTATCACAGATCAGAGGAGAGCGGTGTGTGGGGGCGTAGACAGGGGGGCGCTGTCAGATCGAGCTCTCCTCCACGCTCCGCTCGCTCAGCCTCCTGTGACAGCTGCCAGGAGGGAGAGCAAGGTACAAACACTCAGTGATCAGTGATGGCTGAGTGTTTGTAATAATTGAAGACATACGGTAGCATGTTTACTATATCCTCAATTATGAATGAATGGGAAGTGATCTACATCACCTCCTGTTCATTCATGATTGTGGTTCTAGTAAACATACTATCTCCCCAAGTTATAAATGAACAGGAACACTCAGTATAGGGGATTCCTGTTCATTTATAACTGGAGCTACAGAAAAAGAAGATTGAGGACTCTGTGTTCTCAATCTCTTTTTCTATTTTAAAAGGAAAATATCAGGGGTCTGTTTAGACCTCTAATATTTCCCAGAAGCCCCTAAAAGTAAAACAAATATTTAATGAAAATAAAATTATAAAAAATTAAAAGTTTATAAATAAAAAAATTTGAAAAAGTTAGAAAAAAAACCCAACATTTTTAGTTTCGGTTTTAAAATTTTCATTTCGGTGCACCTCTGGTAGTATATTTACACAGGTCCTATTCTCCTCATTTCTTTTTCTTTATCATTACAGCTAAAAAGCTCCCCAAAACGGAACCACAGACAAGCGGTGGCAACACGGCTAGAGGAAGAGGAGTAGACCTTACTGAAACTGCACAGCCTAGCAAAAGTCAATGCTGCAGTAACTAAGCCTTCATGTACATCTAAACTGTATTGATATTCTCTTGCTTCCTAATTGTTAAAATAACAATTGAGTGTTTAACCCTTTTTCAGCCTCGGTGCCGACCCTCCAGCGCAGTGTGCTGCAAGTCCCCTTGGTATTAATAACATTAACATGGCCCAGTGAGTCTTTAATCGTACAGAGACTCGCAGTGTGGTCTCACTCTTAATACTGAGTTCTTTAAGTGCTGAATCTGGTTTTTAACATGCATGCATTAATTTCTAAGAGCAGTGAAACAGTCTTTGTGTAGTAAATACACTCTTAATATTGAAACTGAAATTAAAGGCAAAAAAAAAATAAACTACCGTCGCCCAATGTCGGACCTTGGAAATACCTAAAATAACTTTGATCTGTGATGAATTGCAGATCTGTCTGATTAGTAAAATGGTAATTATTAACCCACAATAAAACCTTTTAATCATTTTGTTCTAAGTAAATGATTTTTATTAAAAGGTAAAGGTAAAAAATGGTTTTCGCTTCTTCACAGTATTCATTGAAATTCACCTCCTCTATAAGTAAAGTGTACATTCCGCTTCTTAATGTATAACAATCAGCCACTCATTGTTCTGCTTCTTGCATAGGAAAATAGTAAACATGTGCGGTTTGCTTCCACCATTGTTTTTCATTAGATCTTTGGGGGACAGACTTATTTTATTTTACAAGCAACTCCTTAAAAATCATGTTTGAATCCTGTGAGCTTTATTATACAAAGTGATTCGAGATGTAATTTTTTTTTTTCTTCATGGAACACAGAACACTCTAGTATCCGTTAATTATGCTTTTATGGGGTTTATTTTTGTCTTTGCCCAGTACGAGTACAATGTTCTAACGATTATGTGTACTCCATTTAGTTCTCTTAAAATTGGATGGTAAAATTGTATTGTAAATAGGGTACTGGATTGTAGTCTTCATTTATGTTTAATATGTTCTGTTACTTGTAAGATTTGGTTAAAATTGTACAGTTACTAAAATGATGAAATAAAAAAGCTAATGGTTTTCCTCTACGTTGATCTGTTTTTTTTATTTATTTTTAAGTAAACTGATTAGCATACGTACAAAAGAAAACGGCAGTTCTGCATATTGTACACAAATGGATGAAATGCCTCTGTGTATACAGAAGCATTTTTACCTTGGTTAATGTGTTTGTAAATCCATTTTTCCATGTTATGGTCCTTTTCATTATTTTGCATACACTATATTGCCAAAAGTATTGGGACACCCCTCCAAATCATTGGATTCAGGTGTTCCGTGAAATTTCTTTGCCAGAAAATATTCCACGGTCAACTGTTAGTGGTATTATAACAAAGTGGAAGCAACTCAGCCAGCAAGTGGTAGGCCACATAAAATGACAGAGCGGGGTCAGCGCATGCTGAAGCGCACAGTGAGCAGAAGTCGCCAACTGTCTGCAGAGTCAGTAGCTACAGACCTCCAGACTTCATGTGACCTTCAGACTGGCACAACAGAGCTTCATGGAATGGGTTTCCACGGCCGAGCAGCTGCATCCAAGCCTTACATCACCAAGTGCAATGCAAAGCGTCGGATGCAGTGGTGTAAAGCACTCCGCCACTGGACTCTAGAGAAGTGGAGACGTGTTCTCTGGAGTGATGAATCGCGCTTCTGTCTGGCAATCTGATGGATGTGTCTGGGTTTGGTGGTTTCCAGGAGAACGGTACTTGCCGGACTGCATTGTGCCAAGTGTAAAGTTTGATGGAGGGGGGATTATGGTGTGGGGTTGTTTGTTTTTCAGGGGTTGGGCTTGGCCCCTCAGTTCCAGGGAAGGGAACTCTTAAGGCATCAGCATACCAAGACATTTTGGACAATTTCATGCTCTTTGTGGGAACAGTTTGGGGATTTCATGCTCTCCAACTTTGTGGGAACAGTTTGGGGATGGCCCCTTCCAACATGACTGCACACCAGTGCAAAAAGCAAGGTCCAAAAAAACATGGATGAGTGAGTTTGGGGTGGAGGAACTTGACTGGCCGGCACAGAGTCCAGACCTCAACCCGATAGAACACCTTTGGGATACTAGAACAGAGACTGCGATCCAGGCCTTCTCGTCCAACATCAGCACCTGACCTCACAAATGCGCTTCTGGAAGAATGGTCAAACATTCCCATAGACACACTCCTTAGCGTTGTGGACGCCTTCCCAGAAGAGTTGAAGCTGTTATAAAGGGTGGGCCTACGGACTAAGACTGGGATGCCATTAAAGTTCATGTGCGTGTAAAGGCAGGCGTCCCAATACTTTTGGCAATATAGTGTATAGCAGGATTTTTAATAGTGTGATAAGTAAATTAAAATACCTGGTGATTATGGCAGCATCTATCACTTCCCTGGCGTGAGTGAAAGGGTTGTCAGCTTGCTCTGTGCCCTTGTGCATTCTAACTACCCAATGCCACGCTGATGGGCAGCCATGCTTCCCGGCCTACCCAAAATGTTTGAGTTACAGCAGCTCGCACAGCATTACAGGGTAGCATTGCCCTTCTATACTGTAAGGGCTGTTGCTCAGGGATAATGAGATTGATTCTTATATAAGGTGTCATTTGATACAATAAGATGATCATTTCTTAGTATTATGCGGATCACAAAGCAATGGGTTTTTTTCAATTTTAACTGGATGTATGCTTGTTTCCAATCAGGGACTTAAAATATTAAAGATAAATCCAAGGCCGCCAAGTAACTTGTGAAATACGTATTTTGCTTTACCTGCAAAAGGGTTTGCTATTGCACATTTTGTAACCCAACACATACCAGATACCAAAACCAGATTCTTAATCGCCACTGCAACAGCAGCACAGCTTTGTCAAGATCATACCTATATTTACTTTGCTGCCTTCAGGTAGAGTTCACCAAGAAAGCACAAGCCTTAGTTTAAATCCTGCAGGAAGTAAAAGGAATTACACATATGCTATATGGCCAAAATTGTGTGAACTATCACACCTATATGAGCTTTTTGGACATCCCATTCAAGAACCATGTTCATTATTATGGAGTTGTTTCAATGCCACCCCTATTGCAGCTATAACGGCCTCTACTCCTCTGGAAAGGCCTTCCACAAGATTTGGGGTGTGTCTGTGGGAATGTGTGCTCATTCAGCCAAAAGCTCATTTGTGAGGTCAGGTACTGATGTTGGACGAGAAGGCCTGGCTCGCAGTCTCCTCCCTAATTCATCCCAAAAGTGTTCTATCGGGTTGAGGTCCGGACTCTGTGCAGGCCAGTCAAGTTCCTCCATCCCAAACTCGCTCATCCATGTCTTTATTGACCTTGATTTGTGCACTGGTGCACAGTCATGTTGGAACAGGAAGGGGCCATCCCAAACCATTCGCACAAAGTTGGGAGCATGAAATTGTCCAAAATGTCTTGGTATTCTGATGGCTTAAGAGTTCCCTTCACTGGAACTAAGGGGCCAAGCCCAACTCCTGAGAAACAACCCCACACCATAATCCCCCCCTCCACCAAACTTTGCACTTGGCACAATGCAGTCAGGTAAGTACCGTTCTCATGGCAACCGCCAAACTCGGACACGTCCATCAGATTGCCAGACAGAGAAGTGTGATTCATCATATTGGAGAACATGTCTCCAGAGTCCAGTGGCGGTGTGCTTTACACCACTGCATCGGACGCTTTGCATTGCACTTGGTGATGTAAGGCTTGGATGCAGCTGCTCGGCCATGGAACCCCATTCCATGAAGCTCTCTACGCACTGTTGTTGTGCCAATCTGAAGGTCACATGAAGTTTGGAGGTCTGTAACTATTGACTCTGCAGACAGTTGGCGACTTCTGTGCACTGTGCGCTTCAGCATGCGCTGACCCCGCTCTGTCATTTTACGTGGCCTACGTAGAAGACCTGGCTCACAATCTGCATTCCAGTTTGATTCCCAAGATGTTTAATAGGGTTCAGGTCTCTGTGCAGGACACAAGTTCTTCCACACCAAGCTTATCAGACTATGCCTTTTATAGAGCTGGCTTTGTGTACAAGGACACAATCATGATGGACTAGAAAAGGTCCTTCTTACTGTTGCCACAAGGTTGGAATTGTACAATTGGCTAATATATTTGCTGTAGCACCAAGAGTAGCCTTTAGGGAAAACTGAATTCAATTATTGAGAAGTGTCCACATACTTTTGGCCATGAAGGCAGTTGTAATGTTTAGGTGTCCGTAAACCTTTGTCCACATTTGTTTACTTACACTAGCTGTATTTAAAGATGTACATAATTTTTTTTTAACAAATGCATTAATTATGTGCGTTTTCCTCAGTGCAGATTTTTGTGCGTGTGTGTATATGTATATGTATGTATGTGTATATATATATATATATATATATATATATATATATATATATTTTGTT